TTCTTCTTACTTCCGCCAAGAGCCCCGGGGCCCGTGCAGAGCGTGAGAGGAGGTGTCGGGCCGTTTCGAGTGTTGCGGGGAGCAGCGCTGTCGTGAGGTGAGGGTGAGGTGTCCGATTGTGAGGGGTAGCCGGCTGTGAGGGGGGGGGGATCCGACTTGGAGGAGAGGGCCCGACTGTGAGGAGCGGGAGGTGCCAGGCTGTTGGGGCGGTGGGGCTGTGAGGTGAGCGGTATGGTCGGGTGATAAGGGCCCAGGTGTGCGTGGCCGAGTGTACAAGCGAGGCGGGAAGGGGTGTTGGCACTGTCTGTGTGAGGCCCGGGGATTTGTGACTGGGATCTTAAGGGCGTGTGGAGCTGGAGTAGCTTGGGACAATGTGCTAGGGTCAGGATGGGCACATGAGTCTCTGAATGAGGGGCAGCATGGAGGAGGCTGGGGGTGGAGGTGTCTGGGGCCTATCTGGAGGAGTGGGACACTGGGATAGCAATAGGCTGTGTGAGGACTGGAGATTTGGCAGGTGCAAGAGGGTAGGCAGTTTTGCTGGGGAGGAGAAGCATTTGTGCCTATCTGAAACAGAAATGCATGGATGCACTAAGATTGTTGTATGGAGAAACAACAGTTGGAATAGGAGTAGGCAAGAGAGAAGCTGAGGAGCTGATGAATTGTAGTCTTTTGGAAGTTTGAAACTTGAGACAGTAATTTGATATGTAAAACGTGGAGCAGGATCAGGTCTGTAGCAGACTCTGACCTCTGAGTCACAGAGATTGACTGGGCTGGGTCCTAGAAGAAGGAGGCCTAGAAGTTATCTGCTTGTAGTGAGAGTGTAAAGGAGCAGTTTCTATCGAAAGTTGACCTGCTGAATAGATTTTGTTAGTATGCTAAAGGAAGAGATGGGTGTACTGTTGGATTGTTAAGAAACAGGAGAACCTTGCTGTCATGTAAAGGATGTGAGTCTGTTATATGTAACTGTGGAAGGGAAGCTCTCTCATTGAGTCACAAGGTTCAGAAAGGACCCCCTTTATCTCTAAACTCTTCTCAGAGAGGAGCCTAGGTGCAGCGGGATCTAGTCTTACTCTCAGACTTGATTAACAGTTTGCCTAATAAAGATTATGTGGGTAGTCATTTATCAGAGTCAACATTTCACTTGTTCAGAGCCCTCTCAGGAGCTTTCACTGAAACAGATTCACAAAGCTGTGGAGTCAGCATTTGCCTGTTCAGAGTCCTCTGAGGAACTTTCATGGAAACAGATTTGCAAAGTTGAAATGTAAATGTATATTTCTATAATGTTAACTACCATTAATCATGCATGTACTACAATAAGCAAGCACTACAATAAGGAAATACAGATTCATACTTAGCACAATAGTTAAGTATCATGATTATAACCA